ATGCTGCTGAATCGACTTGGTCACCGGCAAAGGGCTGCCGCAAGCCTTTTCCTTTCGCCGTCATGAGATGATCCGACACACCGTATCTGCCACAGCCGCAAAGGAACCGCTAGGTGTGCAAAGCCCGCACAAACAAGCGCGTCGTCAATCACACGGCCTGCAGATCAAAACGGCGTCACAATCCATCCATCCACTTCCACCAGCCAAGTGACTTTTCCACGCTTCTTTTTGCGCGATACACATACGCGCATATCAGATTGATGGCGGGGTCTTTGGAATTGGTATGCATTCGTGATAGGGTGACGTCGACGATCGTTGTGCGTGGGTAAGTCAACGTTTGAGGAGGAAGGGGGGCGCAAGTCGTTTTGAGGCAATAGAGGCAAAAGCTTTGTACATGACTAGAGAAAAGCCCAGAATAGCGAAACACGAAAGCATGAAGCGCGACGTCGACAGAAGACATCAGAAGAGAGAAGGCCAAAGGCAATATTGGGCTCGGCTTGCAAGAAAGACGAATGGTCATTGAGCAAGGGGGCCACAAACAAGATCTATAACAAAACATCGACGCGTAAAAATCCTAATCGATTCTTTTTTGGACTCTTTCTCCGTCTAGAGAGAGTGCAAGTTGGGGTTGGTCTCTGCGCCGAGGCCTCGCTTCTCAGCGAGCTCCTTGCGGTCGACCTCGTCAGCATCGTAGCCCTTGGTCTCTGGGACGAGGAGGACAGTGACGATAAATCCAAGGATGGAGATGGCAAAGAAGATCCAGAAGACCTTTTCTTGGCCGATCGACTTCTTGGGGTCGGCCAAGACGCTGAAGCCGAGCGAAGCCAGAATGGCTCCCAGCTTACCGCAAGCGGCAGACAGACCGTGAGCGGAAGCACGAACACGGGTGGGGAAAGCCTCGGCAGGAATGATGAAGGTGGTAGCGTTGGCACCAAAGTTGAAGAAGAACTGCAAAAAGACGAAGAGGGGGAAGATCTGGTTGGTGTGCGCCTTGTACTCGTCGAACTTGCCGCCGAGGATCCCGAAGAAGAGGGCGTTCATGGCGAAACCGATGAGCTGAATGGGCTTGCGGCCAATGACCTCGATGAGTGCGGCAGTGAAGAAGTAGCCGGGCAGGAAACCAGCGACGGTGATGATCAGATTACCAGTGGCGACCTTCATGAGCTTGGACCAAGTGCTACCAGTGGTGAAACCGATGGCTTGCAGGATGACGGACTGGTTGAGGTTGATGCCGTAGAAGGTAATGTCGACCAAGAACCAGCCGAGAATTGTGCCGAGGAGAACGCGCAGGTGGCGCCACTCGCTGAAGTACTCGAAGAATTCGTTGTGAGGCTTCTTGCCGACGGTAGCAAACTTGAGACCGACAGCCTGGTTCTCAGCAGCGACAGGAGTGTCGCCACCCTTCTTAGCGAGCTCCTCGTCAGAGTCAGACTCGCCAACGACGACGCCGGCAGCGGAGGCCTTGGCAAGCAGCTCGGGGTCGTCCTGAATCTGACGCGCCTGAGTGAAACGGGTAGACTCGACGAGGGTGAGACGGAAGTAGAGGACGCCGAAAGCGGGGATGAGGGCCAGACCTTGGAGGATGCGCCAAGCTCCAGAGAGCTTGTGCGTGTCTCCGGCAGTGACGGGGCCCTTGTATGCGGCAATGACGACGACGGCGGCGATGGCGCCAACGAGGTTACCCCAACCTTGGTTGGAGAAGATGAGGGCCAAGAGCGTACCGCGCTTGTGGGCGTGGGAGCGGTCCGAGACGATGGTAGCGCTCATAGGGTAGTCACCACCGATACCGATACCCATGATGAAGCGGAAGGCGGTCATCCAAGCGGTGACGCCAACACCTCCAAGGTAGTCGGGCACAGAGATGATCATGATGACGGCGACAATGATGATGATGAGCTCCTTTCCATATACTGCTGATCTGCCGAAAGTGTCACCGAGGAAACCAAAGATGATTTGACCGAAAACGTTGCCGATGTTGGCCGATGCCTTGAGCACACCTCCATCCAGGCCCCATGTGATGTTGGAAAGCGGTGCTCCTCTATCCGTCTGTGGCACCTTGAACTCCTTGTAGGTGCGCAGGAGGATTGCGTAGATCATGTTGATGATGAACAGGTCGTAGGCGCTGCAAGGGGGGAAGAAGAATGGTCAGGGATCGCGGTGCAGGACTTGCATGCGCATTCACTGTTCGCGACTCTACTCACTCCATGAAGAATCCCACACCTGCAATGACGAGCAGCTTTGCTTCACCCCAGCTAAGGCCGAGGAAGCTGCGAGCACGCGACTTCTCGACCAGAGCGAGAGAGGTCGACGCGCCTTGGTAGGCGTCGAGGTCGTTGCCGAAAGCCATGATGACTAGCAGCTGTTAGTGTATGCGGGGATGAGTGTTCGAGGCACGCAATGCAGTGCAGTTGGACAAGAGACGAGAATCGTCCTTAGTGTTGCGGAAGATATGTTGACCAACGGTGAGGAGGGAAGAGGGGTAGGAACAGATGTGCAAGTCAGGATCTTATAGATGTTTCGCCCTGCCTACGCGGCATCGATCTCTCTTCTTGCAAAAAGTGTCTGCTCGAGCGTCATACTGCGCCACAGCAGCATTGTGATTCAAATTGTGATTGCGATGCCGGGT